AGTCAAATGTTGTATACAACTTGTAAATTATAATTTTTCAGAATTATTTAGATACTGGTATTGACAGTGTAACAAAGAACACGGCATACTCAAGCTCAGTAACAACCATTGATGTATGTATTATCATTAGACTGCTATTGAAAATAAAAAATTACAATAGTGTCTAATTTATATTAGTTTGTGTATTTTGTTTTGTTTTACTATTTATAATTCGAGTAAAATGAAGTAAACAAAATTAACAAGTTGTAATATATTGATCAAAACGTACATTGATTGACTTAATTCAGAGGCAAAACAATTAATTAATACAAATTGTTGTAGAGACTTTTTCAGTCAATTATTTGTTGCTTTACAATTGTTCGGATAATTATCGTACATAAAATACGTTATCATATTTATTATATTATTACATTTAATACAAATTACATTTTTCAACTGAGTTGTCTTCATTATATTTATATTTTTTTTCCAGAATGAACCATTATTAGCCGTTCGGTCTCCCGGCGTACTCGATACTATGATGTATGATACTTCTAAATTAATGGGTGACATGGATAGTTACGCCAAAGCCAAGACATATAACATGCTCTAATTTGTCTGATTGAGAACATTTAAGAATATTTCAATGAAACCTGATTTGTAACCATTTGTTATTTACTATAATTACTAGTATATATCATTAATAATAAATATTCAGAATTATCATAAAACATTTTTTTTGTGATTGTAATTTATTTCCTTATTATAAATTCGGCTTAAACATTAAATGAAATTGGTACAATATATAATTATATTAAAAACTGTGTGGGTTGTTGCCATCGAACACTTAAGTTCGTAGTTATAGTTTATTTTCGACAACATGGTATATTAAAAAGTTAACCGATAAATAAAGGTAGTTCTTAACGAATAGATAATATATTAGCTTTGCCGTGATTTTACTTCCGACCACCAAAACTCTTATTATCAGTGATTCGAATTGGTTATGATAAGAAACGAAACTTGTTTTATGTCATTTTTATTTAATAGCTTTAAGTAGTTACTATTTGTTTAACTTACCAAAGTAAGTAGAAAACTTAAAGCTTCGAGTTATATGATTTTAAAACGAATTATTATTTTTTTTAGTTCACAAATGAGTGATAATATAAATTTATAATATTATATAGTTTTTTCCGTATGGCTCGCGACTAGAGGTAGAATTTTTGGTTAACCATATAGGTTTCTACATATATGGAGACTACCCGAAGTTAAAGCTTAGAAAAATGTGATTATAAATCACAATTATATTTTAAAATGGTAATATAATATAGACAAACATAAATACGTGCAAACATGTATTAAAGTTGTGGTCTGTAATTTCTTCTAGTTTAACTAACTTATGTAATTATTACGCTGATTCATTTTTAGCAAGTTGATAGATCAAAAATATAAGTAAAATGTAGGTACTTTTAAGGCGGAAATCTGAAAAAATTCAAGTATTCGTCCTGACACCCGAAAAATTAACATATTTTGTAACTGAAAAATTGACACTATAACTTACCAAAAAACTGATTCATATTATTTCGAGATATTCTTTGGAAACAAATGTAGTTTTCATATTTTGTATGAAGTGAATTTTGTTTTCTACCATGTTGCAGGCTACCCGTGGATATAAATGTAGGACTTTTCCTACTTTCCTACCTACAGTCAAATATCAAAATACATCTATATTTGTGTTGGTAGTTTTTGTAAAAAAAACTAGTTTTGCATTGTCGCCCCAACAATTAAATATTAATATAAATAAATTGTGAAAAATTAGTTTATAATTGTGGGGCGACAATGCAAAATGGCGTTTCACTGACTTTTCAGAAGAGATATTTTTCTGCTATGCAAGGAATATTTGAGTTATAGGTGTCGTGAAAAGTGTAAAAATATTTTTAAACAATGTTTTGTTGGGTAAAGTATTTAGACATTTATTTTTCATTCTTCAATGCGATTTTTTAAATATTAAATTGCATCATAGCGTACTAATTTCAACCAATAGTACATTTTGATTTGTGGAAATAATACGTTTTGACTGTAATTTTTCCAAAACGTTCTATTTTTGTTTTATATTATATGTTTTAAACTAAATAAGTTTAAATATTTCAACTAAATTAAAGTTAAGAACATTTTTTTTTTATAAATTAATTTAATCACTTTCAAGTATAATATTATCCTATTACTAATTATTTTAAAGATCTATGATCTCAAGTGGTGAGAAGAATGGTAATGCTTCGTTACAACTGGGATGAAATTTTTTAACCGCCATTTTTTGCATCTAAGGTAAAAGTTAATTATAATTTATAATTAATACTTTAATAAAACAATTTCTCAATTACCAATCAAAATTTAAAAAATCAAACACAGTACCTAAGTGTGTTCACACTTAGGTACTTCTAATCAATTTCTGCCAGTGTTATGCTTAAGTCAACATATTGCTCTTTTAATTAATTAGCAACTGAGATAACAATAATTGTGAAAAACTATTTACATTTATTCATCTAAATTCTAAACGTATTGTTTGACCTTTATTTCTAATAATAACAAGCTACCAGATGCGTAGTTCGTACACAACTATGATTTCCTTATTCGAGTAACATGTTTTGTTGCATTATAATAATAATATTGGGAAATTCCTTTAGAGTAGGTATGAAAAAAACATAGCTAGATCTACTACAAACCTTTTTCAATAATATTTAACTTTAATTAAATGATAATTTAATATTTATACCTATCATTACAATTTAAATGCATTTCATCATTTCTATAATAGTTTGATTGGAATATTTCTAAGTCGAAAAGTCAATATTATACTGAAAAAATTATATTAACATGAAGGTACATAAGTATTGTGTTAAAGACTTACTTTTAAACGTATTATTAAATGAGTATTACTATCAGAAATTTCAACAATTTTTTAACAACATCAAACATGTGAACCAATTTATGATAGAAAAAATGTAACTTGGAGAAGAAAATTTAACAATGAACTGCAAGACGAATTGGGAATTGCATCAGTCATTAGCTTCATAAGATGACAAAGGATTCAATGACTAGGACACGTGATGCGGAGAAGTGAGGATGATATAAGTAGAGCAGTCCTAAATTGAAAACCAATGGGAAAAAGACCTCGAGGGAGGCCCAGGTAAAGATGGCTGGATGTTGTGGAAGAAGATCTTGATAAATTGGGAGTACAGGATTGTAGAGAATTAGTTCAGGATCGAGAGAAATTGAGAGAGATTGTGATGGTGGCCAAAACTCTTAGAGAGTATTCAGTGTCAGATGAAGAAGATCAGAAATGCCAACTTAGTTGTGGACCTGAGAAGGTATTTTAGACTGTTTTATAATAATGAGTTTTATTTATATTTTTCTGTGTTGAAAGTTCGTGTTAATACGATTAATCATTCGGATACGCGACTAGCCACTATGTTAATCTCTCTCATATTGCTTTAAAACTATAAAAAAAAAGGTAGAGTTTTGTAGTTCGAATATACAGGGTGACCTATCTAATGTAAGACACTCATTTTCCTTGAAAATGTGAATATTTTATAAATAATTTATTTCATATACTTTTAGGTAGATGTTTTAATACATTTTTCAATACTTAAAAAAAATTTTACCTTCATTGCCTATACGTAAATCAAATATAGACTTCGCTTTTTCTAATAGAAACATACGTTTTTAATTCTATGATATGTTGACAACAGATTTTTAAAAATGCTACTGTTTGAATTTTTAGTTTTCATCAATCTTTGATATGGCTTATTACATTATAAAGATTTTTATTTAAAATCAATATTCGTACGGGTTTTACAACAGTAACACAACAGTTTCCCATTATATAATAATGCTGACCCGGTCGTTAACACTGCCGCCGTTACTGTGTTTGAATTTAAAAGGTCCCGCTTGTCTATCGTTGTATCAAAATATTTTATTGTGTCTGGTTATCGGTGTTTTCGCCTATCGAACAATGCGAACAAAAATATGGATTTTATGGGCTACTGGAATTTGGAAAACCGAAGACATAATATAATGATAATTATAAGGGGAAATGTAATATCTTTGCCAAGTCATAACAAACGAACAGATTGATAAAAATGAAAAATTCCAACGCTAACATTTATTAAAATGTTTTGTCTACATATTAATGGAATTAGTAACATATTTCCCTATTTAAAAAAACAACATCCATACTTGTTTTTTGAATGAGGGATAAAGATAAAAAATTCCAAGTTTTGACAAATATAGTAAAATATGCACCTACAAGTATGGGAAAAAATGGTTTTCAAAATACTCATATTTTCTGAAAACATGAGTATAAGTGTGAGTGTGAGAAAATGAATCATCTGCATTCTAATAAACCATTAGTTAAATCCCTAACACTGTGGAGACGGAGCATAGGACAGGCCTAGAGAGCGATTTACATTTATTAGATTAACTTGATTTAAAAACCTATGAAAATTATTACAACTTGTCGTAATAAAATTACTCTTCGAAGAATTATGTTACGATACAATTCGGTAGATCGTAAAAAATATTTAATGTTAGTAAAATCATTTTAAGGCAGTACATAAGTTTTATAATCTTGCTATTAGGAATTTTGGATTTTCCTTAATGTAGTGTGTATCATAAAATATAAAATAGATTTAAAAATCATTAGTCAACCTTATTTGTCCGGGAAAACCCAAAATACGATTAATTTAATAAAAATAAAGTTTAAGCATGCCCCAAGTACTACACGTTTTTTTCTAAAACAATATATTATTTACATGTCAACAAAAAAACGTGCTATAACACTTTGCTATCAGTTAATAAACGAATAAATGAACAAATTACGACATCGGTACACAACGCCCGATTTTGATCGGTAACCAAGCACAGGTGTCTCATCACGCATGAATCAACACAAACCTTTATCCAACCTTGACGAAACGCCATTTGCGTATTTCCAATTTTTATTATGCTGATGTATAAATGGTATAAATGCATTCATAGCTCACCATGTCGGCCAAAAGTTCACACATTGTCCTCGTTTTGTGTTTGAACCTCGTCCTGCCTAATGTCGTCTACTCATATCCGTTTCCTAGATCGTACAGCCCTAAGGTAAGAAATAAAAACTAAAATGGTGTATTGAACTAAATTTGTGTTTTGCTTAAAAGTCTTTATCTAAAACATAGGTATGAAAACCTTGCGTGATATATTGTCATATGCTTCCCAATTAATCCACTCAAATAGTATTATTAAGAACAGTACTATTAATAGTACCATTGTTACTTTTTGTTACTTGTTTTCCTTTAATACAGTGCTCTGGTCCTAGGGTTAAACACAATATTCTATTACTTGACAACAGTTATTTAAAGAAACGCTTAACACAAACGTGGAATAAAAAAATATACAATTAGTAGTGTGGTTTTATTTGGATATGATAAGACTGTTCGTACTTAGTTTACCTGAATATATATTTACTTTTTTATTTTTTATTACATTACGGGCTGTACCCAATATATATCTGTGAGTGTGTGTAGTCTTTCAGAGAGATTTAAGTGAATAATATTGTTAAAAAGTTTTTGTTTATTTCTATCTTATATATATATTTATTTCGTAGACCTAAATACCTCAATAAGATGAATATCTTATTACTGCAATTAAACATATAATCAAAACTAAATATATGTATAAAATGTATTTTTATTACTTGAAGGGTACAAGGAAAAATCCAGCAAAGTCACTTTGTTCAAATCAAAGAAAAACATGTTTTAGTAATGCTAAAATATGTTTTAAAATGTTAAAGAAATACTTAAAACTTTTTAAAATATTATACACGTTTGTTTATAATCGTGCTTAAATGTAAAGAACAAATTGGTTTTGTATCAAAACCAATTTTATAACAAAAAAATTGTCATTTTTAAAAAGTGACTGCTGGTTTTTTCCTTGTGCCCTTCACTTACGTTAAAATCGGACAATGCCTATAATTTATTTTAAACCAAACGCTGTAGTATCTATTAAATTCTTGCACGACAGCCACATTCGAAATTAAACACTACCAATCAATATAATGTTGTTGGTTATTTTTAGTAAGATAAGGTTTATTTTTCTAACCTGTAAGCCCCCACAGACTACTTTTTTCCTCTCTAATGTGTTCAAGATCAAATTGTGATTTGTTTAATTAATACTATTTCACAGCATGGAAAGAGATGTGATGAGTGTAGCGCCTACAGCTTATTTTACCTATTGAAAAAAACTTGGATTAAAGTCTCCCTAAGTTACGTCAATGTAGTAAGAGTATATTAATTCTAAATATCTTTGGATAACTGCTAACCGGTAAACCTATTTCTTCATTAGTACATTAATCGATTGCAACATAATACCGTAGTTATCAGTAATAAATCATGATGTTAATAAATGCTCTTGTAAATAAAAGCTGAACAATCTACGCAAAACTGAATATAATAAAATATAAAATTCATTCATTTTAATAGTTACTATCCATTGGCCGTAAACAGCTTTAGTAAAGCGAAACACGGACCTAACAAAACTAATTTTGAACAATATAACGCGTTAACATGTATCAAGAAAAATATTTAAAGAGCTGCAGTTTATTGTTACCACTTATAACTACTTTTATTTTTGAACCACTCAGAGATGGATGCAGATGTATATACTACGACGTGAAAGAAAGTCGGTGTGTACGTTTTCATTTTGAGGACTCTAACTAAAGTTTGCAGAATGTGCCCAACTGAATTACTATTTTCTGAGACTTTTCGCTTGGTTTTCGTAAATCTCAAGGGTGCTATATTTTCTCATTTATACGAAGAAAAACCTGGGACACCGGCAGAAACGTAATAATTTTCCCCTATGATTTGATCCGGCCACATGTAGGTAGTGAATCTTTTTAAAAATACCCAAGCTTTAGTCGGTACCGTTTTTCGAATTTTGTCTAATAAACAAGTACATTACGTGTTATTACGAGATTAACTTATAACGAGGTTGTATGCAAGGTACCTATAGCACATCATTGGGGTCCGCGATTCACTAAGTATAATAGCTATTATTTTATCAATTATTATTTCAGCTGATCAGCTGAAAAAACATTGTCCCCTAAAAAAAAAAAAGTTTTAAAAACACTATTTAATTTGTGGATGTTTACTTTTGCAGAGTAAAATAAATTAATGCACGACTTGCAATGTGGTAAAATAATTAACCTGACGCACTGAATATTAATGGGACCTATTAACTGTACTTATTTTCAACAGATATTATTTGCTAATGATTTTATTTTAAAAATAAATTACAATGTTCTGTCTACACACATGATTTTATACAATTTGGAAATTAATTAAAATTGTTTACAGTGTGATCTCATAATAGTGTACTGCTTACAATATGCTCAATACAATTAATTAAATTCTCTACGAATGTTATGTTTTTTTTTTTTAATGAATACAAACTAGGTAACAAATTTATGTTAATTTCGGAACACTGGAAGTTTACATAATAATATTTTAGATTTATATGCTCGATCAACGTCTGCCTATAGTAATAAACTGACACTACTAAAGCCGTTTGTTATGGTACTAATTAGTAATTGTCTGTTTCGATATAATTATAGTAAATTAAACAATGTCGTGTGTGTTATCAAAGGCTATTTACAAAACTGTTATGCGCTTATATTATTCTTAAATACTATAAATTGTTTTATTATTTGAGTTTTAGGTGTTTTAGTGGAGCTTGAATGATTGAGTTGGTGTTCTGAATTTAAATTTACATTAACCTTAAATTCCACAGATCTAAATAATTTTTTTAAGAACTATTTACGAACAATTAATAGCCTCCTTTAAAAAAACAGTTCAATACATACATTAATAACGTAGATCATTTTTGTCGTTCGATCTTTACTCTAGTAAGATTTCATTTTTTTTAATATAGTATAAAATAACACATTTTAGGGAATTAAAAAATATTAATCGATTTTTCACGCTCATGGTCACAATAATACTAGTTTCTTTACAAACAAATTCAGTTTTTATTTAAGATACAATTAATACATTTTTTTAACAATGATATCGAATTTTTAATATTTACCGAAATAGATCATGTGCAAATTTGATTTAATGTAGTTGTACAGTATATCAATATTTTGTTATTCGAGAATGTGTACATAATTGTTACGCAAATCTATAAAATTATAAAAATAAATAAAATACTGGTAAATTTCTAAAATGAAGTAGTACGCGTTAACTACATTAGTGTCAGCTGTCAATTACACGTGTTAACTGTTCAATGATAATAAATAATTGACAACTATTAAAATGATTTCATTTGTTCGCATCAGATGCAAAATTCTAAAAACTAAAGATGAACAATAAAATTGTATAATATTTTTATTGATTAGAAAAAAATATCGACAACACCTAAATGGCAAAATTCCCCCGCGGGTCTACAATAGTGTAATCGTAGCTTCTCAATTTGTCCACGCTATTGTTTTTCTTTTAAAATAACAGTTGTTACGATTCATTGTCCATTTTCTATGCTATTGGGTTTGTTATTACAGAATAACTGTTCTGGTCTTTCTGGCTCCTTAAATAGTTTACACATAAATGTATATTATGTGAAGTTAACGAGGTAGCAGGAAAAACATAAATCCGTCTAGCAGATTGGTGAACGGACTATTCTGTTATAAGAATTAGTAAAGAGTCTATTCGCCTTTCTGACGGACTTTGCAATTAATTAATAAGTATTTATTGACGAGATTTATCACGCCTATTATTTCTCTTAAAATATATATGTTTATACAATGATTGAAAACGTTACTAAAGAAACACAGGAACACAATAAAAATTGTTTCGTTCTCTATGTCAATTTGGTAATGGTTTAATAACCCTAGTATTTATCTTATCTTTCCTAATGTTAAGACTTTCTTTTTACTATATTGACTTCTATTTTATATTTTATTTATATTATCTACACCTCAACATTCTGGTCCATACCATGGCTTAATAAACAGGCATGATTCCTAGATTATGAAATTTCCTATCTTTGCGCATTTGATCCATACACATTTTAACTTAACGCATTATTTTACCTTTAAAACAACCATTATTTTCAATAATGGATTTTTGAAAATTGGTGGTAGGGTGGTATGGGGTTAGTGTCTCTAATACTTCCTATGTAACTGTGCAATAGTAGTCTAGACTAAAAAAGACTGTAACTAAAAAATAAAATTCCATACTTACTTGAATTGAATTAACTGCGGAATCGGAAGTACACGATACGATACAACACGATACACTTTAAAGCAGCTACTGATAAACACGTCGTACCGAAATTAGCCTTATATACCTTCGGGCCTCGAGAATTGAAATTCCTAGAAGACGGTATTTATTAGTACCGATTTCCGAACATATTCTATTCTCAAACATTGCGGAAGTTTCTAGAATATTTTATAACTAATTTTCGCCCTTACTACCACCCACGAACTCTCTTACTATCAGTGGGACACCAATGGTCTTCTCCACCACAAACCCGAGTGAGTGGTTGTGGAGAAAAGTGAGCGTACACCCACACACTCTTTCCTTTTATATACTTATACATTGATTATAGTCTATAGATTTTGTTATTCGCTTGTGCCTAATATTCTATATTTATAACCAGGAGTAAGAACATACCTCACTAAGTCCATAACTGTATTAAGTGGTCGGTTTTAACAACTAATTCTAAGTCTTATATCATATGTACATATAATTAAAATCTCAATTCAAAATTAAACGTTACCTTGTGATGAAAAACGATAGCCATATGAGTAAGTATAAGATGCGATGCCGAATCTAAGTACAAAGCGTGAACAAACGTTTTTTTTATTTGAAGAACGACGATGACTAAATAATATACACACGTGCTCAATGTGTCGTATAGCCATCGTTTGCCTAAGTAATATTATACTACTATATTTTCGAAACAGCAATTTTTGCAGGAAAAGAGTTTATTTAAATCCTCTGTCGGATAGATTGAATACATTATCGCCATCTACTACGGATACAGTGAGTTTTTTATTACTATCATTGTCTTTGGTTTTCAAAAAAGTGAAAATTCTCGTACCCCCATGA